CACATAATAGATAAATATTTAAAATGAAGAAGGCACAACAACTAAGACAAACGTGCTTAAAGGTTAATAGTTATTTTGTTCATACAATGCTTGATCACAATAATTTTATCAACTTAGTAATGAAATTAACATACTTATGTATACATTAGCAAATTTAACTATGAGTGACAATAAAAACTAATGTTGCGGACCAATAAAATTTAAGGGGCTTAGAGAAAAAAAGTTGGATAAAAGAGCAAATTAACTTTTAAACTATGGATTTGTGAGCATCTAAGATTCTAAATTTATTTTTTATAGGATAAAGAAAAATACCCACAAAATGGTTAGTTAGGGGCACTTAGTATTTTAAAGTGAAGAAAAGGATATAAATACTCATAACGTTACATGAGTGGTGCAAAAGTAACCAAATCATTAATTTTGACATAATACCATTAACTTTAACCGTTAAATGTTGATTACAATGGCGGAGGGAGTGGGGACCAGCAGGGGCCATGGCTCTCCTAATTTTTTAAAATTTTTTTTAATATTATATAGATGTTACATACTTTTGACCCCCTAAAATTTATAAAAAATTTATAGTATATATGTTTTTAATATTAGCCTCCCTTTTTTTAAATCATAGCTTGACCTCTAGTTGATTGTGCATGTCACTTGTCAGTCTTTGTTGACATTGACTAATAAAGGAGTAAAAATACCCACAAAGTCATTGGCCAAAAGCAAAAATATCTATAATGTTATTAGAGTTGGTGTAAAAATGACTAATCTATCAAATACCTTAAATGTTGACCTTTTATCTGACATTGAAGTAGAAATTGATTATTTTTTTACTGATATAAAGAAAAAATATTCCTAGATGAATTTTTACAGAGGTTAATCATTTATCGTATTGTTCTGAAAATAAGAAAGAATAAAAAAAATTATTTTTATTATTTTTTATTTTCAAAACATATTTTATAAAATACCAACTCTCAAAATAATAAAATAAAAAAATTTAAAGAGTCCTTTAATCCCTTTTACTTTTCATTTTTTCAATTCTGTCTTGAGCAAAAGTTTTAACCTAAAATAGTAGTTAGAGAAGAGCGTAGTTTCCACGTATCACTCAAAACCCGGTGCCATTTAATTGATGAATGCCAAGCGCTAAGCAGGGAAACCGAACCCATGACTAAAAATTGTTCGGCAAAATGCAAAAAATAAAAATAAAATGGGTTTTTTTTTTTTTATATTTTACTTATCCTGCAATTTGTTATCAGAATATGTAATTGTTACCGTGGCACTTTAGCAAACTTGCTTTTCTGGTCAAGCATTTGGAATGTGATCAGGATATAT